AATATGAATGATAAAAATGTACTAAATTAAAATTGTTGTTAAACTAATGTTTTTTTTTGCACTTTAACAGGAGAAGAAAAAAAAAGTTTCGGAACAAAAAAAATTTTCTCACAATTTTCTTTCTTGTTCCTTTTAGCTATTTATCAATTGCTACAATTTAACAAATTCATTCATCCGTCAATTGTTGTTTTATCTAAGAATTGAAATGCACTAACAAACCAACAACATTATTTTAATCTTCACAATTTTAAAATTATATTTTGATAAAATGAATTAACTAACAAACAAAATAACACACGCTCATCAATGACATATCCATTTTTCAATCTTTTTTTTTCATTTTTTTTTCTTTCAAAATTCTTATCTTTTAATGTTTTTTTTTTAAAACTTTTATTCCAATTATTCACTAATAATTAATTATTCACTTTTTTTTTCAAATTATTTTATATTGTTCTATAACAATTAATTATTCTTTATTGATTACTTTTTTTAGCTAAAATTTAAAAAAATTTCCACCCTTCATTTTAATCTCGTACATTATTTTCGCTTATAACCAAAATATATCGGACTAATATTATCATACATAAGTAATCCAATCATTCATTAACAATTAATTACTCTATATTGATTAATTTTTTTTATTAAAATTAAAGAAAATTACCCTCTTGATTTTAGTCATACATTATTTTTGCTTGTAACTGAAATATATTATACTAAAATTATCATACATCAGCAATCCACTCATTGATTTACAATTATTTCACATTGATAATTTAATTTTAATTAGCAAAAGAAAAATTTCTACCCATATATCATTTTTATTTGTAATTAATATCATATTTCATTGATTTTTATGCATAAGTAACAACTATACAATGATATCAGTTTATATCACAATATCAATATAAACATCATAATATCACATCATATTTCATTATTTTAGTTAAAATATCCCCACACATCATATTTCATTATTTTAGTTTTAGTTTTACTAATTATTGATTTTTAGATTACTGATGGAAAAACTCCTTTCGTATGTTTCAATCAAATTCCTAACTTTTTAGCTTTTAGTAGTTCAGTTGAAACTTTATATTATTTATTTATGTTTTTTTTTTTTAAATTTCTTAAATACTTATTGAATAATT